TTTCTTTCTCGCCTATATATACACAGGCATATACTGTACAGGGGAGTGCCCTTGCTTTCTTAATAAAACATTTGTACATACAAGTGAAGATTAAAACAAGTTAGATGGAACCTAACGCCCGGCTCTACCCGACTGAACGAAGAATTTATTGGGCTTGTCCTGATCAATTGATACTTCTGAAACTTTTTCAGTCCGGCCCGGTGCAATCACTTTGCGTGATTTGCTTCTTACATCTGTAATGCTTTAGTTGACTAAACGGTGTAAATAGGCATGCAACGATTACGGTTAACCGTAACCGTAAATAACCGCTTTATAACAGCTTAGTGTATATTTAATTTTTAGTTCGTTGATATCGGTTTCGTTGATATCCCGGAATCCGAGAGGACGTTTCTAGCCAATAGAATACGTTCTATAGGGCGCTCATACTCATTTTCGGATTCCGAATAGTCGATAACCTATTCTCTTTCATTTTCATCCAGTCAAAAGTGGGTTTCTGACAACACGTTCTTGTGTCGACGTGCGATTACTGCACTCGTGACTTTCATTGCTACTTTCGGACCCCGCATAGTCAAGTGTCTATCCTATTCCATTTTCATCCAATCCAGTCAAAAGTAGATTTCTGACCAATAGAATGCGTGCTAGAGGTCTCTTATACTCATTTTCGGATTCCTCATGGTCGATTACCTATTCTCTAGAATTTTTATAAACTTATTAGTAGATGCCTATAACGTCAGGACAAAGACCATCCTTGCCTACTTCTAATATAAACCGATATCAACGAACTAAAAATTAAATATACACTAAGCTGTTATAAAGCGGTTATTTACGGTTACGGTTAATGGCTAATAATGTATGTTATCTGTTGAACACTGTTTACTGAACATTCTTTCGACCATTCGTTCTTTAGGTTGGCCGTCGTTTTTATGACATTCATGTTGAAATCGAAGTCGTTAATGAAGGTAAAGAATTGGGTGTCACCGAGGTTGTATTTGAATTAAAATTTGAAAATACAGTCCATCCAAAACAAGCAGTTGAACATGGCTGAATTAGATTTATCGATTGATTGTCATATATTTTTCGAATTATTTCCATTTCATATAGTCATCAGTAGTACGTTAGAAATCGTTAGTGCCGGTGATAGTTTAACACTATTAGTTCCAAATATTGTGGGAGAATTAATGTGAGATATATTTAATCTTGTTCGGTAAAATATACAAAGTATTTCTACTTGCTCTTCGTGAACTCATTTTTTCTTCTCTTTTAGTCCCATTATTATACTCAACTGGGATCAGATTGTTTTACATTCAAATAACGTATTTGAATTCTCAACAATTGAACCATTGAGAAAACAAGCAAACGAAAACGACTTACAAATTAACGACGGTTACGCACGAAATGATTCTGTTGATTTATTTGCTTAGTTTTTTCTTGGTGTAAATATTTTCATTCTTATCTGTTACTTTTAGAATTATTGCTAACAATGACAACCCAACGAGAATTACAAGAAGATTAAATCCCCGTCCACATTAGAAGCCCAGTGGGCTTCTATTATGTCCTGCAAGAAAGGCAAAATTTCCTGAAAAAGTACCTTATGCAGGGGCAATTTTCAAAAAATTTCCTGCCAGACTGGGCTTCTAATGTTAGGGGGGGCGGGGTTACTTACGTTTGCGTCAATTTGATAATAAATTATTTGGTGGATTCGATGAAACATCATTTTCATTTTTCTGAGTTCGAGATTCATCTGTGTTTGATTGTTGCTGAGTAGAGAGTGAAACCAGGATGTAACCGGTGCCGGCAACCGGTCGATCCGGTCAGGAATTTCTAACCGGTCGGTCGAGAAAAAAATATCTTTTTTTGTCTGAAAAATCAGCGCTTTGCCGAAAACGAATTTGCTGAGCTAAGTAAAACAAAGCTTTTCATATTTCAGATTAAGAAAGTTAGTTTGGTTTTCCCTTTTTTGTCAACAGTCTTCGAGAGCAGGACTGATAATCTCTACTACAGTAGTTGAATATTCCACTCGTTTCTCTTTCTTTTTTATTGTTCGCTACACTGAATGTACTGAGTAATGTCGAAAAGTAAAATGTCGAAAGGAAAAATGTCGAAAATCAAAAATGCCGAAAGTAGAAATGCCGAAAACCAAAAATGCCGAAAGGAGAAATGTCGAAAAGTTCGAAGGCGGCAAGGGTAAAATCTTAGTAGAGTTGTTCTTGTAAAAATGGTCGAATGAAAATTGACCGACCTGACAAATAATCAAAGAACATGAGGCTCAACTTTTGATCATAATAGTTGCATGTACAATAAAAGAATTTCCCATAGAACATAAAAGAACAGTTTAAAAAATAGAATATAACAGAGATAAATTGATCATAGCTTTCCTCTAGAACAAAAAAC